TCTCTCTCTCTCCCTCTCTCTCCCTCCCTCTCCCTCTCCCTCTCTCTCGTTACGACTCGAGACAACATAGCGGGTAGAGACGAGTCGCTGCGACATCTCGAGATATGTGCGACGCACCCTCGTCGAGAGACATAACAAGCTAGTCAACGCGAGAGCGTTTACAACTCGCTCGGTGCGCTTTTCGCACGAAATATCGCGAGCGATGCGAGAGAACGCGCCGGTCCTTGGCGTCCTGCGTTTGTTCGACGCGGCGTACGAAAGCTGTGGCGTTACGAGTGCATCGGGACAAAAAGAAATGACGCATCATGACGGAGGGTGAGCGCGACCAGGCGAGGTGGCGGATTCTGCGGAAAGGGAGGTTCGAAAGAAAGGACGAGGAGGATCGGACGGGCGAGAACGGACGGGGCGGGGAGGTGAGGGGGACGAGAAACGAGCGACGGCGGTCCGTGGTTACCGCGAACTACACAATAGTTGGCCGTCTCACAATGGAGCAGCCCAGAGCTGCGAGCGAGCAGACGGAATGAGTTTTTCCTTCGTTTCGAGTCGCGGGGACTATTTTAGTTTCCATTCTTTCGTTTCGTGCCGCGGCTCCTCTCCCTTCCTCCTGCCTTGCCGTCTTCCCTCCTCGCTCTTCGTCACCTCTCCGCCCCCCTCACCCACCGTTCTCTCTCTCTCTCTCTCTCTCTCTCTCTCTCTCTCTCTCTCTCTCTCTCTCTCTCTCTCTCTCTCTCTCTCTCTTCAACTTACCTTTTATCTTCCGCGCGTTTCTTGCGCAGTTCTTTTCTCACCGTCATTCGCACACGCGGACCCTCCTTTATTCTCGTCTCTCGGCCCTTTTCTTTTGCTCACGCGGCCGTCATTGGCGCGTCGCGACCGGCATCATAAAGTTATTATTTTACGGATGCGTGCGAGAAGAGCGAAAAGGGAGCGACGTGGGCTGAACCGGACGCTTTTTTCTCTCTTTCCTTCACACACTCTCTCTCTCTCTCTCTCTCTCTCTCTCTCTCTCTCTCTCTCTCTCTCTCTCTCTCTCTCTCTTTCTCTTTCTCTCTCTCCCTCTGTCCTTCTCGTCTCAGTTCCAAGAGCGCGACGAGAGACGAAACGTAGCCGATTCCCGACGGAATGCCCAAACGGACCGGAATTAATTTGTTCCCGGTTAATTTCGGCCACGGACGCGGACCACCTCGGCGTCTTCCAGGCGTGGCGGGGCCTCGACCTTGCGCGGCGTGCGCGGTGACGAAATCGAATTCCGTAACCGCAGGCGATAGAGTTAACAAGGTGAGCTCCGTTGGCGAGAGAGAACTTCGCTAATCCGCAAATTCTGATATTTAAACAAAAAGGAAAGAGAGAAGAGGAAAGAACAAGGAAAAAGAGTAATGGATTTCTTCTGTTTATTCTTGCGCTCTCTCCGTATTCTCGCACGCCTTATTCCCGCTCGTTCTCGATACTCCCGTTTCTCGTAGTAAACGGAAAGAATAATGGGACGGTCGATAGCGTTGCTGACGCAACGCAGCGGACTTTTTAACAGAGAACTGAATCAAGTATTACATAAAATTGTGCGTTTTCAATTCAGTTCTCGTTGCAGGCGCCGCGGCTTGCGGCCGCTTGATAAGCAAGCAAGCAAGCGCGTGCAGCCGGGAAGAATTATTTAATTAGAATTTAATTGGGATTAGGTTCACAAGTGAATAACCGTTATTATGACAGACCACCTCGGATAGAGGCGGAGCGCACGCACCGCCAAGGGCTGGTCAGGCTGACGAAAGGCGCGCGAGGCCAAAATTAATTTGTTTTCTAGTAATTCCAGACCTGCCCGGCTGAGGACCACCGGCACGATACTTAATCTTTTCGTCCATTAAAGATTCTCGGTGTTGGAAAGGGCTTTTTTCACGTCCCACGTCCGGTCATTTAAATACTGCCTTCGCCCCCCCCCCCTCCACTAGATTGTTTTACGAAATACTAAACACAGTTTTACCATAAGAGAGGATGTAGATGAATATTCAATGCGTCCATAAATACGAAACTGTTCGTTTAATAAATGCCTTTCCCAATCTGTGTGTTCTCTGCCGCGCGCGCTCGCGGGGAAAAATTACTTTTCGTCGACGAACGTTCCGCCGGTGATTTACACACTCGATTTACGCACGCGATTTACGCAATTTGGCAACGGGGAGCGAGAAATTATTTCCTTATAATTGAAAGGTAGCGACGATTGTATGTACGCATGTGTGCGCACGCGCGCACGGTCGGAGAGAGCAATTTGCGAGATCGTCGGATAAAAATGGTCGTTCGCAAGATCCCCCCGGTCGAGAAAACGGATCTGACAATCTTTGTTATGTTCCCAAGATCCGATAACATTCGAGGAGGGCAAGATCGTTGTTGGACGAAAGTTGCGATCCCGGCGAACGCAAAATATTATTGTTGCGCGCGTTTCATCGGATGTTTCCTCGTCGCTCGAACTTCTTCAGACGATCACGACCAGCGCGTCACGATAAAAAGGTTCCCACAGGACATTTTCACGCACTCACGTTCCGGTACACGCGCGTAATGTATTCCGGCTTCGTATCGGTACATCAAGAATCGTGAATATTCGTGAATTTCGCCAGGCGGACGTATCCGCTTAATCGCTAGATTTAAAGATTTATGGCCGGCGTGACGGCCGGCCCGAGCTACGCCATTCGAAATCATTTTTCGATTGATTATCACCGGTCCGCCCTTCCCCTCGCTGTCTCTCTTCCTCTCCCTGGTCCCTCTTTTTTGTCATCCCCCACGGAGCTGTCACGGGAAAAATATTTTCCGACCCAGCCGGCCGGCTTCAGGTGTGTATCTCTACGAATTTCGTTTCGCGAAAGAGCGCATTTTCGAGCTACAAATAAAACCAGCGCGACATGACAACGAACATCGCCTGCTATTTCTACCTATCTATTGACCTTTCGATCGCGAAGTGTCGAATAGAACGGAAGAGAGGCAACGCCGGCGGCCAGTGACGGCTGTGGCGGTGGCAGTGGCGTCGATTGAAGGCAACAACAAGTGCGCGAAGGAAACCAGAACAAGACAAACGAATAAAAAAAACAGAAAGGTCAGGCCGGGGCAGATACATTGTTAACGCGCCCCAATTATTTCGCACGGATCCGCTCGTAAATATTGAGCCTCCGCGGGCGGCGCGTCTGCCGAGCGTTGATATTCCGCGCTGCGCTTTCTCTTGACGCCTTTTGCACTCAGAGAGAGGCAGAGAGAGAGAGAGAGAGAGAGAGAGAGAGAGAGAGGGTGAGCGGAGAGAGGAAAGGAAGGGAGGGTGAAGAGAGAGGGGGAGAGAGAGACGCCTAGAGACATATGGAAAAAGCGCGCTCAGCCGCGCCGCGACACCGGAGTGACGGGAACAAAACGCTTCTTGAGGCTGAATCTAGCCGGAAGGAAACTTCAATCTAAGAATACCATCGTCAAGAGAGGCCGCGCGCAACGTCATTAGTGAGATATAATTTCAAAGAGACCCGACGCGCGCATAGTCTGGGGACGCTTTCAAATGACTTTTATTTGATGTCAGGCTACACGGAAAACTTTGATGATACGCCAGCCCAGGGTTGACTCGCGCGCTCCTCCGTCTGCCTCGGTCTATGCCGTAATAATATCTGCCTTGTGCACTTTGCGGAGCGAGAGTTTTCGTATCGCCGGTCTGCATAATGAGAAGAGGTTCGACTCGGCTCGGCTCTACTCTGACGTATCGGTAGAAAATACGACGTGATTTTCGGGACGAGCGTCGGTGATTTTCCGTGCCGGTCGGTTATCGTCGCGACATCTCATACGTCTGCGAGAGATAGAGAGAGAGAGAGAGAGAGGGGGGGGGGGAGGTAAAGAAAGAGAGAAAGAATGGAGAAAATGTTAAGCATCATATTTGTTCCGGCAACATAATTCGCTAATTATATTACGTGTAAACGAACGCTGCGCGATCCCTGCGAGTTAAAAACAACACGCGTGTTTTCCGCGAGAGGAAACCCGTGCACGAAAGCAGCGTTAATACGCGTATCATATAATGTAACGTCATTTTTCCTTTGTTTTCGGAATTGCGCGGCGTTCACTTATAATAGAGTCGACTTTAATCCCCGAAAATGAGGATGCATCCGTTACATTGGGGCGAGAGAGGCAGAGCCCGCTCCGCTCTCCCGCACTCTCGCAGTTTCATTGTCGGCGAAGTGAGCCGCGAGATCGGTGAAGCGCGAAAAAACATATACGCTCGTCCGGGGGAGAAAAAAAAAGGAAGATGTACCGCCGCTCATCTCGTTCATTAAAACGTACGTTAGACAATGCCGGATGGAATTATTTTTGGTTTATCGCGCCGCGCGCGCTTAATGAATCTCCCAGTCACGCGAGGGCGCTTTGTCGCACGAATTGTCGACGAATTCGCAACAACCGTTTGGCCACTGTCACGATGACTGCTCTTCAACGAAATGAACACGGAAGGACCCTCGTGACGAGTCGGGGGGAGGGGGGGCGGCGAGTCGCGTTTAATGAGAGGTGTCGCGTTCGTCAAAGACGGTGATTGCTGTCGATCGATACTGTCATCGCGGGGATTCAACATCGACGGCAGATACGAGCCCGGCTGTATCATTATGTGCGCGCGTAATGTTTCCTCGTGTTCTCATAATCTTCTCGTTGTCATCCGTCATATACGACACATATACGACACTGCGGCTCTTGACGATTGTTGACATTGTACAAAATATATAATGCGATTTTCTAAGATTTGTCTCGATCGTAAAAGCTCGTCGCGGTTTGTCGAGTCTCGATTCGACGTGCAAATCTTTTGATTACTCTCTTCTAATTAGTTACCCAATTATACGCAATCCCGTCGCCTAGATATTGCTCAAACTAATAATAACGCCACGCCAAACTCTCGTTCGGCCATCGCTCGCTGACTTTGGGATTATATCGCGAATAAGCGCGACGGTGAATATTACGGGCAAACGAGACAATAAATAGAGAGGCGTACTCACGAGCGGCGCGTACTTTCGTGCAAGTTCACATTTATTAATGATAAAGTCGACAAAGAGCGGCAAAGGTGGCTACGTAATCTCGCCGAGACAATTTCAGCACGCGCGCGCAACAGCTTTCCTCCTTTCGAGCATGTTCACTTTCGCGCGCTAACTTTCTGTTTGCCCGGCCTGCTCGGCTGCGCGTTCAAACGTAGACAGAGGTTCTTCAATGCCTTCTCCATTTCTTCGGGGGTGACGCAGCTTTTGCCGGCTGCAGTAGCCAAGTTCTCGGCTTCTTGCAGGCACTCGTCCAATATGCTCTCCAGGACGGCCGAGAGCACGGCCTGCGCTCTGCCGGATATGACGTACGCCTGACCTGCTATCCAAGATTAGTGCGACGGATGTGAAGAAATTGCTGGTAAAGCGAAACGCGATTAAGTCGCACTACGGAAAGATCCGCGACAACGATAGGAGAAAAGTATTATTTTCTCGCTGCTCGCGCGAGACGCCGCGAGCGCGCTTGACATTATGTGGCGTGTGACGTTTTCATAGCGAAACTGAAATCGACATAATTCGACATGATCGTTCTATGCGCGAAGATGTCCATTTATTTTTACGATCCATTGCCAATGAAAAGCTCTTTAGTATAGAGCTTAATCCTGTGTCGCGGGATGCACAGACGTATTATTATTTAATACGTTTGAACGGAAACGTCTGTGAGCACTCGAGAAGCGACACGGGAGAAAAATATCCCAGCAATTGTCATTGAATATTTCCCGCGATTAATGCGCACTTCCGGCGGTGTTATTGATTTCCCTCTGCTTCTCCTGCACGGGCGATTCGCATTTTTAATGCGGCGTCGGGCGGGGACAGGCTGCGGATGATCGGACGGATCCGCCGCGCGCCACTCAGTCTTCCGTGATTGCGAGAAGGGTGCCGCGGACGATCGATCGACAACGATTTCGGCCTCGCACTCCGCGCATTGGCATACATTTTTTATTTCCACATGGATGTATTCCAGCATCGACCCACATCCAACCAACCGCCCGGCGAATTCGAACGGTGGAGAATCGCGAGACGGCCGAAGGGCTGGAGAATTCGGCTGTTCGAGGGCGCGCTCGCGCGAGCACGCCGGGGAAAAGCGAACGATCTCGCAGGGAAAATGGTTCTTTCCGCGCGCGCGATGAAATATGGATCGTTTGTTACAACACTTGCGTATCGCGTATGTGCCGCGCCTTCGGTCGCCCTCCGCCTTCCAGCCGCAGCAGCGTTCTGGAGCGAGAACGCGACGTAGCCGGTTCCGGTAAGGAGATACGAGACACACACCGGCCTTAGTCGCTGAATCGGATAAATCGGGATCGCGAGCGAGACTCGCCACCTTCGTCAGCCGGCACGCTCACACTGTAATCGATCGATAAATAAAAACCAAACGGGCGGGCTGCGAAAAAAGGGCTGTAATCCACGCGAATCTTCGCCCGAGCGTGACGTCAGGCACAAAACCGAGACCGTAACGTTCGATGTAGCTCGCCGTCGCCTCGATTCTCTGCCCCTCCCCGTCCCCCTGCGGAGAGATGAAAACGATCGATCAAAAATTCAACAAAAAGCGCTAACACATGCAGCGGCGAACATTCGCTGCTGCGGTTGGGGTAACGCGCGGCCGCAGCAAACGATCTCGGTGTGTGTATCCCGATTAAAAATGTAACGATTACCAACCGCGTCGCCAGCAAGTCATCTCTGAAGAATGCGCTTGCACCGCGAGAGGGGAGAGTAGAGAGAGAGAGAGAGAGAGAGAGAGAGAGAGAGAGAGAGAGAGAGAGAGAGAGAGAGGATACGTCGAGACTGTGCCGGGTCGCGTTACAGTGGCCGGCGCAGCCATTACGTGATACGGCGCGAAATCGATCGGATAAGATCTCGGCGCCATAAAGCATCGTTATCGCACTCAATTATCTGGCGTACTTTCTTCGCGTCGATCGCGATCTATCGCGAAACGGAAAGGACCGAGAGACGGACAATCAGCAGGGAGACCTGGCTATATCAACGACGATACATCGCGCAGGACGCGGACATCCAATTGGCTGCGGCTAAAAGTCCAAATTCGCGCGCGATGCGCACCGCGCGATTCTTCCAACGAGACGACGGAGGAGAAAAGAGTGTTTCCCTCACGACGGAATCCGTGGCGAGTCCTGGAAGCCTTGAGCCGCCCGTGGTACAAAGCGGCGTCGCGATTACGCTTGAGACGCGACGACGCGCGCCGCATTTCTCCCCCGGCGAAATGTGCGGCGATTAAATCCGCGACGTTGTGATTCTCGCCGGCTTCGCGTCGGATTCTTCTTGCCGGAGGCTTCGGCTCGTCGTCGTTAACTCGTCTCTCGCCGTCCTGTGGTCCGTGACGCGGGGCGGCCGGGGGTGGGGGTGAGGATTCGCGTCGGTTTTTATTCAGCCGCTACATGTATCCGCGTATCAACGCGGATATATATATATATATATATATGTATATATAGGTACGGTCGCGTTTTATCGGCCTAGGTGTATCTCATTTCGTAAAGTGCGCGTCCACTTGAACGTTCGTTCTCGCGCGCGTCTCCCGGCCCCCGCGCGCCCCTCGGCTCTTATCCATCCCCTTCCAATCTTAACCATCGTGATTTCCGCCCGTGTCCGTCGTTCCTGCCCGCTACCACCCCCGAAATAATCTGTCGCAGCGTTTTTGCCGCGACTCGATGACGGCACGACGTACCGGAAACGATGCGGCCTCGATGGAGTGTACTGGCGCGCTCGCTCATCGTCCGCAATTTTCAAAACGACCAAACACTCCCCGGCGACGAATCGCGTCTCGAGATACCATTCTTGTGTGTATACCGAGATTATATTGCGCGTTCACCCCGCACACGAAGCACCGCGGCGGGATATGAGAGGGAACGTGAGGAGGGGTTGAGGGGCGAGAGAGAGGGTAGCGGGGGTGCACGTTCTTCTTTGAAGCTGTGCCGCCTCGTATATTGTACGATACGAAACGCGGGCGAGGAAGATTGTAATGGATTTTCGTAGCTCGGCAAGTGAATCGCGCGGTCGAGATGGAATAAGTGCGCGCGCGCGCATGCAGAGAGAGAGAGAGAGAGAGAGTCGCGTTTAATAACACGCGTCAAATTATCTTGCGTCAACCAACAATTATCGCGCGCGCGCGCGCGCGGTCGACGACGACGGAAGTCGGCACGGAGCGAATTTTCACGCCGAGAAATCCCCGCTTCGTGGATTTAATAATAACGACGGCAACGGCAAGTAACGATAAATTGGCGATGTAATACGGTCAATTTATAGGTTGGTTCTGTCGCGTGAGTCTCACGTACTTCGTTCGGAGCCGTTGCTGCGCAGCCGGACGATTCGTCGCCATCTGACGGGTCGATTCTTGCGACGCATCCTGCGGCCGCGAACGATGTGTCCTTTGAACTGTTAATTTTGAGGTATAAGCCACGAAATGATTCGAATGTGTAACGCGACTGCCGACCGAAGTGTCACGTCGACATATGAAACAAATGTTTGCCGACGTCACGGTTATCTCCATGACGTCAATTATGTGTGACATATTCTGAGCTCCCCCCCCCCGTTCCGTTACAGTTGCACTTGAGGATCGCGCAACTTCCATCTGGATACGAAATCTGGAGTATCAGTTTTTTTTTGTTTTCATGAATAAAAGATGAAGGGAAGAGAATAGAAACATGTTTGGCCCAAACGTTTACGTTTATTTCGCGTTTCTTAAAATATGCACATCATTCTGACTGTTGCAATTTTCGATGGCCCTCTCCGACGATGCAATATTTCTCCGTGGAACAACTCTTATTTCAAAATCGCAGTCACACAGAAGCTTCTTCTGTTTGGCGACGTGCCGCGGCATCTTGGTCGGGGCTAAGACAATACAATTTCTCTCCGGATACTCCTGCGCAGAGGAGAAAAATGCCGCTTGGGTACCGTAAGTGCGCAAACAACATTGTTTTACGCGGGAATAGAGGCACCGAATCGCCAGCCTTAGAATGCCGTCTAATTGCAATTTGATCTCGTAATAATGCCTCGTGACACTTCAATCTCCCGTGGACAAAAGGAACAAACGGCCACGGGTCCCGAGGGATCCCGTGGGATTAGAGTGAAGCGATGTAGAAGCGAATTTTCGACTCGGATAATCGCTCATCAGTTTCGCCGGGCGATTCTGCTGCGCGAAGTCATCGCTTTCAGTTCGCGGCCGCCGGCTATGGGTATAACTCGGCTCACGACAATCCGTTCGGCCGCGTTTCTCGCCGAGGCCCGCACACATTACGCGAAACGCCAAACAAGCACGCATTCCGCGTGCTGAACGCCGAGCGAGGTGGTAGCCGGGGTAACGAACTAGCCAACAGTCTATAATACCCCGACAAATCGTCCGCTCGTGATCGACGCGTTGCACGCGAAAAATCCGCATTCTGCGAGAGGCGGCAAGGCGAGAGAATGCGCGGCTCTCTGGCATATTTACGCCAGTTACACGAGAGACGCGGAGGAAACATCTGCGGAACGAAGCGATGCGCGCAACGGTATTACCAAGGATTGCGGTTACATGCTGCAGTTGATGCGAGACGACGATAGACAGGGGGAGGCCAAGCCGCGCGTACCAATCTGTGTCGCGTTCTAGTTTAACCACTAATTATTATGCATTGCCATGCAAATGGACAGGCATTTAATCGACTTCCCGCGCGCAATGCGGCGCGCGGGCGCGCGTCTCGCCATTCGTCGCGGAGATTCTTCGGCAGGGCGGCGGGCGGAGGCGTTGAAAAGCCTCGAAGAGAGAAAGAAAGGACGTGAGACGCGGCTTTCCGCCCCCGGGACTGTGTTGTTGAGACGTGTCGACGGCATCGCCGGCGAAGAGAACGCCACTTTAATCGTATTAACGGCGAAGACGAGCGCGAGAAGTAGGCCAGCGGGGGAGAACGGGAAATTAAAGGAATATTAGGAGACGGGTTATGAGAAAACAGGCCTCTCTCCCTCTTTTCTTCTTCCTTTCCTCTCTCTCTCTTCTCTCTCTCTCTCTCTCTCTCGCTCATTCTCACTCCCTCCCTCGCCCCGCCGACCCATCGCGATCTCACACCCTCCTTCTTACCGTCGGTATAAATCTTTTTCGTCGGGAAATTCGACGGCGCGCGAGATGAAATTTATGAACTCGAATGCCGCTAGGACTTTCTTGTTCCTCGTAAAAGGAAGAAAGCGGATCCGCGAGACACTTAACTCGGTAACTTCGGCGGGGTCTATGGGGAGAGAGCAGCCAATTACTTTTCCCGGGCGAAGCAAAGAGTAAAATTCGCAACGGAAGATCGCCGATACCACGGCTCGGCGAGAGCAATTCTGCGTTGACGTATCGCGCATCGAGTTTCTAAATGAAATATCCGGTTTCCGGTACATTCGATTGAGCGGGCATTTCAACTTTGTCGAAGGACTGCGTTATTAAAATCGACGCTGCTTCCTCCTTCGTGTTCTCGTCGCTTTCTCCCCTTCTCACCCCCATCTCTTCGGTACAGACGGTAACGATAAATAACGCGAGAAATAAGTCGCGCGATCAATTGAATGTTAGGCCGTCGGGTCGGCCGATCGCTACTGTAACGCGGCTTACGTCGGTGGAGCGTCGGTGGAGCGATCACATAGGAACATGAGCTCTTTGAGCCCTCGTGTAAAAAGCACGTCGTAGAAAAAGCACGGGGAAGAACGCGTTTATTTAGGGAATATCAGTTTCTTGCCGCGTTTCCAGCTGCAGTCTACCGCGTCAACTAATTCTCATGAAAACCCGTCGATGTTGCTTCTGTCCTTTTTCTTCTTTTTGCGCTCTTTCTCCCTGCCTCTCTCTGCTCTCTCTCTCTCTCTCTCTCTCTCTCTCTCTCGCTCTCTCTCTCGCGCTCTTTCTCTCTCTTTCTCTCTCTCTTCCCCTCTTTGGAATTTGCCTGCTGCATTACGCGCCGCGCCGTATCAAGCTTTTACGAGGAGCGCGATTACACTTTATGGCGCAGATCGCAAAATCTATATTCCACACGCGTGTTTTACAAGCTTACGCCATTTTCTCGTAAAAATTGACAAGAAGCGATTACCGCCACCGTCGTCGGGGAAGCTCTCTCTCTCTCTCTCTCTCTTCGCCGCTTTCCCTCTCCCCTCCTCCCTTTCAGTTTCATCCGCGCAATTTCGACGTGGCGACAACTCGGGCGCCGGGAAGCGTCTCCCGCGCGCGCTCGGCTTTCCACGTAGCAATTTGCGGGCCGAGGGAAAAACGAATCGGTTTCTCGCGTTGCTTCGGCGTGGGAAAAAAAAAAGGAAAGAGAGCGGGAGGGGAAGATACGGTCGATTCGACGGACGTAATTAGCCGCTTCCGTCGTCCGGTCGGGCGGGCGGACGAGCGAGGGGCGGGGGGGGGGGACGCCGAGAGGGGTAACTGGCGCGTCGAAAATTTTCCCTTGGAAAATTACTGGGTTCGCGGCTGCTCCCGGCGGGTATGACGCCGTAAAATTTCACGGTATCGTGCCGTGAACAATATCCCGATATTCCCCCGCTTTCGAAACCCACGTCGCGAATACGATGCCCTAAGGGCCCTCGCCATGGTTACTTTTGTTCTACGACCAGCGTCGGGCGCGCGCCGATCTCTCGCCACTTTCTGCTATACATTTCCCAACAGTCGAAACGTCAACGCGCGCATGCATGTGATGCGTTCGATGCGCCGCTAACGTGCACGTAACACGAAGCAAACGATCCGATCAATATGTAACGAGGCAAACGCACGCGGAAAGTGGACGTGTAAATGATACGTATCTGCGAAAATTACGCTCTCCCTGCGTTGCGTTATGAAGGGCTAGAATTTCTCAAATAACGCTGTCGAAGGCGGCGAAGCAATGACGGCAGGGTAGGGGGAGGGACAGGGCGGAGGAGCATGTATACGTTAGATACCATTATATCCGACGTATATGAATAGATCGCGCCACGTTTCCGTCTCTCCGGGAAGATTTGGGAATAAAAGTGACTAATGAACGAGAGCGGTCGGCGCGCATAAAAACCGTGATACAAAAGTGATTCCACGATATTTCGTCCGATAACGCTATCGGGGGGATCTTGGTGAAAATATGTTGTAAAATTTCACGATATCGTACCACGGACAATATCCCGATATTCTCTCCGTTTCGGAGCTACATTACCGATACGATACCGCAGGGGGTTCCGCTACTGTTATTCTCGGCCCGCAGTCGTTTGAGTTCACTACCGCGAATAAATACAGTCTTTCGCCGAGCAGAAATTTCGAGCATTCTGCACTCGCGAAACAAACGTATCATAAATAACAGCGCGACGCAACGCGACGCCACTCAAGAGGCCGCGGCGTCCGTCATCTTGTCGTTCTGCGTATCACGCAAATTTAGTTCGTCGTTGGCATCACCTTGCACAGGCAGACGGACATTTCCGATGGGATCGGGCGCGCTTTAAGAAACAAGTCGCGAGCACTTGGACGACAATGTCGAGATATCGCGCCGCGAAAACCGTCATCTGCGGCGCGTCAGCGACCGGGGGTGGGTCGAAAACACGAGCGGGTGCACTGAGAGTAATATTTCCTGGAGGATACGATCTAAAATGTTAATTCGTCGAATAGTGCAAAACGGGTGGGGTTCACCTAATTCACGGGATAGCCCGGGTGCAAATTAACGACGTCGTAGCGTCCTATTCAGGAATGGGATTAACGAAATACTTAATGCAATCGTGCTCAATCTTCATTTAGGTCGGGCATTCACGAAAACGAAATTAAGTCTTATGCAAGAATAACGTCTATCATTGTCAGAGGGAATAATTAATTCCCCCGCCTTTGATGCCTGAAATCGCCACTGTTCTCCGGGTAACAAGAGCATCTCGACGACGAAATTGCACGAATCTATTTCTAAATAGAATCTCTCCCGTTTAGTACTTTGCCTCGTAGGAGAGAAGACGTATATACGTTGAGAGAGTACAACGTATACGTTTGTGTGTGTGTGTACGCGAATGTCTCAGTTTGTTATTTAATTAGGAGGATAATTAATTAAGAGGGTCGGCGAGAATGATTGGCATGTACATCCTCTCGAGTCTGACGAAAGAAAAAAGAGGAGCGGCAATAATTCAGAACCTTCTCGTGTATTTCTCCAACGTCCAGCTATCTTTGAAAATTGTCGTTGCGGAGCGGAAAGTGTCTCGTAACACCTCTGAAAGTCCATCGTATTCGAGAAAGAACATTCTCTGAGTTTGAATATGACTAATGATGCGTGCGTGTGCGCCTGAATATCCGCCAGAGTACCGTTGCGTGTCCTCCGTGGATCTGCGTGGAAAATGGCGTCCGATAATCGTCCGCTGTCGCTCCTTCGCGAACCTCGGATTATTCTTCGCGTCTCTCCAACGCGGTCGGCGCTGTGACGATACGAAAGTTACCCTCGGGGAGCTTGCGACGGGCTTGCGGCGCTACGTGTATAAGAGTCGTCAAATTATCCCGGACATGGTGGTCGACGTGCATCCACCCGACCGACCGGTCGACGCGACGCGACGCGACGCGACGCGACGGCGGAACTCTCTTTGGGATATATCGTGGTTTGTTTACCCGAAACTACTGTCCCAGGACGTTGCCAGAGGATCCGTCTCTGTCACTTCGTGTACAAAGGGACTCGGCCAACGACGCGGGCTCGACGCGGAGTAAAGGCGAGTTGGACGACCGGTCGTCGGCGTCACGGGAGAAGGTAGGAGGGAGGGGGAGGGAGGGGGGCGAAAAAGTGTCGCGTAACGACAGCTTATTTCGCGCGAGACGTAGCTCGGACGTCCGCCGAGGTGACCGAGGCAGCAAGCCCGGAGAGCGAAGAATGGGGGTCGAATCTGAGTTGATCGGGCGACCGACTCTCGCCTACTTCCGTAGCTCGCTGGCAGTTTATTTCCGTTCCGGCGTGGAACGAGAGAGTCGATGGCTCGGCACAGCGAGTGAGGGGAGACGCGCCTTGTCCTAACGATGTGATTTATCGTCGCCTTACCGAGCCCGTGACACCCCGTCATCGTCGGTACACACCGGCGCCAGCGGGGGATAACCATCCACGTCGATTTCTAGCCTATCGCGCAACCCCGGCGATAAGCGGCTTACTGGAAGTCTGTCGAAGAGCAAACCATCGACGGGGCGTCGCTGAAATAGCGCAAACAACGAAAGTCGCGCGGCTTAAGGGCGGCTCGCGGTGATTACGTCACTCGGCCCGGCCCGTCCGCGCCGTGTAGAGATTGCGGCTCGCAACGTCGCGGGCGTCCGCCGAGATCGCGAGATCTCATGAGATCTCAGCTGCGTCGTTCTCAGTGAGGTAAATTTTCCGCCGGCAAATTCGTCGCAAATACTCGTCCGCGTGCACGCGCGATATTCTCGCTCGATTTATCTGCGATCGACGAGCGAGGAGGTCGAGATCCTCGTTCGCACATATCGCGTGCGAATATCGCGGCCGTGTGACGTTGTTAGTAAGTGCCAATTTAGCAATCCGCTCGGCGCCAGCCAATTCACCGATCTGTCAAACTGTCAACGTGCGAGAACGGGCACACGCGAGCGTGCGACGCAAATATCCTCGGCGAATCGTATTGTACGGCTGATCCGACGACAGATAGTTGTTAGCTGCGAGTCGAGGGGCCTCGTTGATTGAAATAAGTCCCGATCACACACGGGAGAGGCAATCGATGCCGATCCTTCCGATACTTACCACCGATGCTTGAGGGTCTATCTCATCCGCCCACGCCGCGTCGCGCAGGCTTGGTCCTTTCCGCGATCACGGAAAAATAACGACAGCGAGGACACGTGCATATTAAACAACAAGATTTATTATTCATATATACAAACGTTTACATATTCATTTGACCATTTAATTAACCATGAAGCACGATAGAACATCCGTAGACAAAACATGTACGCTCTTTCAGACATTCGCGGACATTTGACAGTGAAAGGAAGGAAGGAAGGAAGGAAGGAAGGAAGGAAGGAAGGAAGAAAGGAAGGAAAGAAGGAAGGAAGGAAGGAAGGAAGGAAGGAAGGAAGGAAGGAAGGAAGGAAGGAAGGAAGGAAGGAAGGAAGGAAGGAAGGAAGGAAGGAAGGAAGGAAGGAAGGAAGGAAGGAAGGAAGGAAGGAAGGAAGGAAGGAAGGAAAGAACAAAGGAAGGAAAGAACGAAAGAAGGAAGGAAGAAAAGAAGGAGAGAAGGGAGGGAAGAAGGAAGTGAGTTCCATGAGAGAAAGAGAGAGAGGGAGGGAGGGAGGGAGGGAGAGAGAGAGAGAGAGAGAGAGAGAGAGAGAGAGAGAGAGAGAGAGAGAAAGGTGATGGGAATCCTAACGGCGGAAATTATTGTCTCTGTACACGCGCATGACTCGCGCCCGACGATGACTCTCGAGCGACGAGGGTGGAGTGGGTCGTCGGGTGTCGCGTCGAGCGTTCCTCACGACGCTCCCCCGGATTATAACGTTCTCTCCGCTTAAACACGAGAGGCTACCGGCTACCTTCCCTTATCCTAGGTGAAAAACAGGAATAGGAATGAAAAGGAATAGGAATGTCGACATAGGGGTAGGCGGGTCCTTAACGGTATTTATTGTCTATTTACAGGCGTCGTTAATCGCGTACGACGACGGTCTTTGGCGTAGGATCCGGAGGGCTGATTCGCGGCGGGCGCACCGCTACTTCGTTTATATACAACTTTCCTGTACACGCAAACTCCTCGTGTAAATATCGTGAGTGCGGTGCACCGGCAGTGTGCTCGGTCGTATCGGGCTCAGGCTCTTCTCGCCCTTCTCCACGTAGCCGTTCGGATAGATCCAGGAGTCCTTGGCGTGAAGCACCGACGACGGTGATGGGTAATCGAGGTCCTCGAGATACCTAAAGTCTTTCGCCCGCTCGGGCTTGTTGCTCGCGTAGCCCGGCTCGAAGATATTCGGCCGTTTCTCGGCCTTACTTGGTATCACGTCCGGATCGTCGTCCGGCAATTCCGCGTTTATCTGCCCCTTCAGGTCATCCCGCCGAGTCTCGTTCGTCGCCGTCGCCGTCGCTGTGCTCGTAGCCGTGGCCGTAGCCGTCGCCGCCGCCGCCGTCGTCGCCGCCGCCGCCGTTGTCGGCAATGACGCGGCCGAGCGATGGTGGTCCTCCTTGCTCTCGTATTGCACCAACTCCGCCTGCACCTTCACCGGCTGCGTCGGATGGTTGCGACGGTACAGGGTCAGCGTTATCCCGACGATCAGAATGCAAATAGCGGTTATACCGCCAGCGAAGCATGCCACCAGGAGGCTATAATCGGTCGTCTCGTCGGAAATCCCGCGACCTGAAGGAACAAGCGCAAAACGTGATTCGCGTCGTCGTCGTCGTCGTCGTTGTCGGTACCCGGGATTGGCTCTGGAAACGAGCGTTCCAGCCTTGTAACATATGGCGGTCCCCGGTGGACCGTGTACTTATACACGATGTGTGCTGTCCCCGAGACGATAAAAAAATTGATGGGGAAAATCTCGAAGACAGATATTTCAAGCATTCGAGAGACGATTGGAATAATTCAAGAGGGACGATACTCTCCGCTCTTCCTTCACTCGATAACGCTCCACGTCTGCGCCTCTTTTTTCCCGTTCCTCCCTTTCTTTCTTTTTCTTTTCTTTTTCCTTTTTCATCGCTTGGGGACACATTTTCTAACGAATTTAAGAAGAACCGGCGACGGGGTCGCTGTAGCGATTGCGCTGTTGCGATTGGCATGCGACGATGCGTTTGAGTGACGCGCTCGTCACGAGCTTCGTATAATTAACTCAGGCGAACCGGTTGACGTTGCGACGACGAAGAACATTTTGTGGATTCTGCCGTGTTTACGCTGCGTCGAACTCCGCGCGCGAGCTCTGTTGGCTTATCCGATTTGATGACGATACTTGCGAGATGAGCACGGAGCGAGAGCGTTATTGATCGCACGAATGTCAAGTTAGTTTTGGACCATCGGCAGTGCGCGCACGTCGCAATTCGATAATTAAGCGACAATCAGCCACATCGGATTAGTACGTAACGATGGGAGCGCGCTTTCTTTCTGAGTCGGCGAAATCGATTTCCATTAAACGGCGAACATATCGACAATTTACTGCCGCGGGAGGCGCATTTTGGCCATGCGCGCGCGCGCGCGCGCGAGGCTTTAAACGAGGCTTTTCTAACGTCGGACGACCAGCGAAGATCCTCGCGCGATCGGTCTGTCGTCCGGTCAATTTATCTTCCTCTTTTAATGAGTCACACGGATATACGACGAAGAAGGAGAAGAAAAATATTAAATCTCGCACAAATCTCTTCCACATTTGCGAAGTATAGGAAAACACGCGCTCTCTCGTCGCGACTCAGTGGTCGTTCTCGTTATCCACCGTCGCGTCATTAACGTCGGATTCCGAGGTCGTTCGGGCTGTTCTCACCGATCTCATCCCGCTGAAAACTCCACCCTCCCCTCCCCTTCCCCCCTCCCCCCGTCGACGACAGAAGACGTCGCCGACTAGAAAAGAGGGCGATATCAAATCTCACTGATTGTAGCGCGCTCGTCGCAAGATTAATAGCCGGTCGTTGCGCGCGCACGCTTGCGGGCGGAACGTGTGATTTTCTAAGTCTGCTATGTAGCCGTGTATTCTCCCGCACAGCAAAGAACATTCGTCCTCATCAGGATGGACAGCCGAACTGATGACGACATCAACAGCGTCTGGGAGTGGCGTCCGGTCCGACGTGTCCGGTAAACGAGATTCGCTTTTTCCTTGTACTTATTGGATCACGGAGGAAACGCAGGCAGCTTCCGGAAGCAAAGATTAAGAGGCAGCCGGAGAATCGGGTCCGCGGACGGCGATGGCCAGGCTCTTTGGAATTCAGAAAACGCCTCGGTTCGTTAGCCAACGGGCGCTCTCTCTCTCTCTCTTTCTCTCTCTCTCTCTCTCTCTCTCTCTCTCTCTCTCTCTCTCTCTCTCTCTCTCTCTCTCGCTTTCCCTCTCTCTCTCTCTCTCTCTCTCTCTCTCTCTCTCTCTCTCTCCCCCTCCCTCCCTCCCTCCCTCCCTCCCTCCCTCTCTCTCTCTCTCTCTCTCTCTCTCTCTCTCTCTCTCTCTCTCTTTCTTTACTATCTTGCACGAGCGCGCACGTTTTGTGTGTGTGTATCTCTTTATATGTGGGGTATGTATGTTTGTATACACAAGTATATATACACACACACACACACGTACACACAGCGTGACGCGCATGCATTCGCACGAAAGGGAAGCCACACATCAGTCGAGAACCTAAGGACACGCGCGCGCGCAGTTCTCGAGGTCCATCATTCCGGGAGACCTCGGAAGCTTCTTCCTCTCCTCACGAGCGTTTCCCCATTGCTACATCGTTAAGAGCGACTGTTTGCCACCCCCGCGGGAATAGGTGGATTGGGTCGCCGCAAGATTCGGTAGCGTTCGGCAAGAGGGCTCGGAGCGATTTCCCGATATGGTGGTGGTGGTAAATGACGCATATATACAGAGTCGGCCCGGGATGAGCTCGACGGTCAGGGTAGTGCGCGCGCGTGTCACGTGCGTACGCATGTTACGTACGCAGGCATGGATGTACGTATAAATACATAGTCATACATATATATATATATATATATACATGTATGCGCGCGCGCGCATACACACACACTTGCATGCCACGTTTCCACACGGTGGAATCGTGCGTGAGCCGGCATGAATAACTCATGAGGATGGAAATTAAAGACGATAAATGCAGCTGGAATGAGACAGCAGCGAGGAAAGGGACTTGGGTTTTATGGGATTTTAATTCAAGGTCCGCGAACCCGGCGGGGTGCGCAGAGGAGGGAGCGCGACGGTTGCAGTAGCAACAGCAGCAGCAACGGCGGCGACGGGCCGCCGCGCGGTTTCTCAAAATGCGACCGCCGAGTCTGTCCACCGTTGTATAATTGCGCCGGGCGGGGATTCAACGTATCGGCTAATGCCCGAATCGCTAATGTCCATGTGTGAGCGCGGGAGTAGCGCACGATTTGTTCATCCGACGCGGATTAACATTCGGCCATGGTGGCGAGGGGCTGCGTGTTCGCGGCGACGGCAGCAGCCTCGATTCCAACGAGCGAGTTCGAAATGGATTTAATCGACGGCGAAATGTGAAAGTCCGTCGACGAGTTCAACGAGCGAAATGGCGATACGCGTTTGTCGAATATTTTAGCGGAACCGCGCGCGCGCGCGCACTCCGGCGAGGTCCGCGAGAATTCGATTGCCCGTTCGATCTGATATTTTACAATACGGGGACAGGAGGTGGTCCAGGTGATTGTGTACAATTGGGAAATTAGGTCGAATTTGCGGCAGCGTCGCAACCCGCTCGTGAACTCCGTGACGAGTAGCGGTGACTACCTTCTGAGAGTAAAAGTTGAAAAAGAACGAGCTGGGTGAAGCTGGGGTGCCAAGAGCGAAGTGACAAAATTTCAGAGAAGAGGCGTCTGTAATTCACGGCACTTTATTCAAGCGTCTGCGCGCGCGAACGAGGAAATACGAGGAGACTCGTTAGAACAGAGAAAGAGAGAGAGAGAGAGAGAGAGAGAGAGAGAAAAAGGACGAGTATCTTGTCTCTGTTGCCGCCCTTTTTATCGTCAAGCGCGAGACCAAGATTCCAAAGTCGGCCCAAATGCGTGTATAATTGCGTCGAGAATAAACAAGAGCCCTTGCGCGACGTGTGCCGGCGTGCTTGCTTAATCTCACGGCGCAATTCGGTCCAATTAAGAGCCCGGCCCGAATATCCCGAAACTCTTTCCACGATGCTCGTTAGCGCATATTAACCTGCCTCGTTATTATTTTTGCTCCGACGTTAAGATTGCATAATGAAGGCACCAGGGTTAATCACGGTGGGCGAAACACTCTCTATCGGCGTAATAAAATCTACATACATTAAGACCAATAATAATAACCCCGGAAATTATACGCCCGGGGGAAGATAGCGACGGGGCGCTGCCTTCGATATAAACGCGCGCGCCGGCCGTTTCGTAATCTCCAGCGACCTCCTAGCCGGCGTGAAATTCGTGTCGATAAAAGTTTATTCGTCCGTGCACTCTCTAAAAGGGCGCGCGAGGACTCGCATTAGCCACCTCAAGCGAGCCTTTCCGCGACCGTGTAAACGGCCAAATACTCGTGGAGATGCTGTTCGCGTGGTGCTGGTTGATTCCAGTGTGCGAGACGCGGAGCCATTCCCAGACGGAACAATGTTTAACGCGCGTTCGTTGAATGTAACAATTAAAAAGGAGACAAACCCACGCTCGTCGAGAGGGGGGGGGGAGGAAGTGCAAGAGGACTCACCAGTGGTGTACATCGCCACTCCCTTGAGCGTGACCGGTTCCAGGACAACAGGGTCACTGCGACCCTTGGCATTGACGGCATAAAGATGAAGTCTATAATTCCGGCCGGGCTCTAAGCCGGGAACCTCGAAGACCGGGCCGGATGAGCCGGATCTATCGGTGTGGTTCAGGTAGATGGTATTGACATGATAAACGTTCTCTTCGCTGTAGACCTCGAGCTCGTAATTAGTCAAGGGCAAACCACCGTCGAATCCCTCGGAGCACCTGACGATCAACCAGTCCGCGTCCCTCGAGTCGGTGGCTTTAAAGTCTTCGTGACCTGTTTTCACACACAGACGCACACAGTTCGACACGGTTAAACCTCCGCTCTCGAAGGAAGAAAAACACGCGGGCTCGCTAGAGCTAATTGCTTCCCGACGTGAACGTCACCGCGGCTAAGTACACCCGGCGACGTCGATTAGAAGGACCAGTCCGAAATTAAATGGCTAATAATTCCGACGAGATTCGCGTCACGAGCCCGGGTCACGATTCAAGCGGTGTGCACAGCGACGGACAGCCGTAAGTCGTCGGTGGCGAGAAACGTCGATTAAGGATCGCGACTCGGACTAACTGCAAATTACCTTTCTGCGAGGAACCCGAAGCGAGTCTCTCTCGTCGGATCGCGCTCTGCGTTCGTTAAACACCGCGATTTATCGGCCAGTCTGATATCTCTTTCCGTCTTTCGCTCGCTCTATCTCTCTCTCTCTCTCTCTCTCTCTCTCTCTCTCTCTCTCTCTCTCTCTCTCTCTCTCTTTCTCTCTGTTGAGAATTCGGACGAAACAATTTCGTTGACTCACGGAGAGAAAGAGAGCGACGCTTTCCCGGAATTCTAATGACGATCGGTCCCGCTACGAAGAGCACGGCGCGTCGATTATCCGATTAAATTATTCGTGGAAACGAGCGGTCCGAGCTAGGAAGGCCCCCGCCGACAATCGATGTCGAAGAACAGGCTAATTTTACGAGCGCTTTCACGCACGGCCGGCGGTCTCGCGTTTCTCATGGGGGAAAGAGAAACAGGGAAACAAGCTGTTGTTGAACGCATCAACAAGGGCATCGGCCGTAAAGCGTCATCTACGATGATGGTCGGGTGTAATGGCGCAGTTAGCAGGTCGTTGAGAGGGTTCCGGGAAAGAACCCTCCCGTTTCGTCGTCGTCGTCGTCGTCGCTTACCCATTCGATACGCGTAGGGTCCGGTTGACTGGAGGGCGGTGCAGTTCTGCAAAGGGTAAGGCTTCCCGGCGACGATGATCTGAAAGAGACAGGGTGTTCTCTGCACCCCTATCCGATTTCGCGCCCAGCAGGCGACCGTGCCGTAGTCCATGTCGTTCGCCGGCGTGTAATTCAGCCTGGAGCCGTGCCAGTGGCTCGTGATCAGACTGAGCGGCTTCACCTGCGCGAATCTGGTGGCCGGTACACTCATCAGTTCGCCGGAGTTGTTGAAGGTCCAGTGGAAGGTCATAGGTGGCGGTTTCGACTGTACGCCGCAGACCAGCGAGATCGTTTCGTGCTTCAGGGCGCCGACCACTTGGGTGGAAGAGCCGTCCTTGCAGATCGGTGCGTCTGAAAATACGAGGGGCGCCGGCTGGTAGATTCAATTTAGCGCGCGTCCGTCGCGATGCCTTCGTGAGGAAAATAAGCGCGGCCGCGCAAAGCGCCGCGCCGCGACGCCAACGCGCCACGTTGGCGGTTTCTGATTTCCATTTCTGGCCCGATAATTGACGTTTCTATGTAAACGCGATTTCACGTTCGATAATATCGACGATGTTGCGATAGGGAAAAAAAAAGAAAGCGAAGTAGAATAGAGAGAGGGAGAGAGAGAGAGAGAGAGGGAGAGAGACAGAGAGAGAGAGAGAGAGAGAGAGAGAGAGAGAGAGAGAGAGAAAAGGAGGGAACGAATGCATTAATAAAATTAGAATAATGACGTTGTCGCACCGTGAGCGTCGCGGAATATGATGAATTAAGGACATCGTCGTTTCCGAGCAAACTCTCTCCGGGTTCGAGTCGATCCGAGCGGAAGCGGGCGTAATATACTCACACATTACTTCGAGGGTTACCGGTCTGCTGGTGGATTTCCCTTCCACGTTCGCCGCCATGCAGGAGTACTCCCCGGCGGAAGCTTTCGTCACACTCTGCAACACCAGCGATTGCCCGCCGGGAAGAATGATCCCCGCGGTGGCGTTCTGATGCAGCTCCTTGCCGTCTTTGAACCAGAGGAGCTTGTAGGACTTAGGGTTGGCGCGGACCTCGCACTCAAAGTACACGTCGTCGCCCTCGTTTATATCGTTCGCCTTCAAACTGGAACCCAACTTAATGCTCACCACCGGAGCGTCTGAAAGCATCGGTAGCGAGAGAGATACCTCACATTTTCGTTTCTTGCGATTTCACGCAGGCAAAACGGCAAGCTTATTTCGACTAGTTAAGATCATTCGCGTTAATCGTTAAATCTGCCTCGACTGACAGCCTCAGACTTTTTCGTCTCGTTTTGACAAAGTTCTCGGACATTACGAGACGAACGTAATGTAAAATGCAAACAAATACAGACACGCCACGTATACACACGCGCGCACGGGACGAAAGGAAGAAGACGAGGCTTCACGGTGACTTACAGTACACCAGCAAGTGCCATTTGTCCTCCAACGCGCTGTTGGGCACCACGGGATTCTCCGCCCTGCATGTCAGAAATTTGCCGTCGTCTTCGATGGTCGGCACGTAGCTCAGCATGCTTCTCGTGACGTTCGGACTGTCTGCGAACTACGAAGAACTCAGAATCCCAGGCGTCGTCAGGCGGACTAACGGACGACGCGCGCCGATAACGACGGCGCCGCGGACGCGGAGCGCGGGTACTCACATTTCTGGCCATGTGTTTCACTTGATGCGTGCCCTTCCACCAGGTGATGACCGCCTCCGGCTTGGAACCCGAGCTCAGACACTCGATCTCGTATGTTCTTAAGGCCGATAAGTGCGCTCGCTTGTTCGTAATGTTGACGATCAGCGGTTTCACTGTAACGGAGGGCGAGCGGCTGGCCGATGAAACGAATTACCGAGCGATCTCCTCGATTTGCTTGCTTCCCGACGAAATAATCATCGCGAGAGCAGGAACTGATCGTCGAGTTGAAACGAGAGGAAGAGATTCGACTTTCTCCCGCCTCCTCTCTCTCTCTCTCTCTCTCTCTCTTTCTCTCTCGGCGATAACGAGACATAACATCGAAAAGAAAAGAGCGTGAGGTCCGAAAGGACCGGATCAACCGCGATTATTTCTTATCACGCGTCCAATTACAATTAGCGCGACTACTCACGGTTCACATCGAGAATGATCTCGGAGACGAGGGGCGTCATAAGCTGCGTATTGTTCGCCTTGCAAATTAGCCTGGCGCTCAGAAAGTCCCTGGTGACCCTGGAGACGTCCAGCCGATTTATCGTGATATCGTCGTGCTCGTGCGTGTACGTGTCGTCCAGCATCTTGCCCTTCAAGTACCACGCGACCTTCGGCGGTGGCGAACCTCCGATCACTTCGCACAACAGCGACATCTCACTATCCTCGTTAAACGGCTGCAGCGTTTTAGCCAGGCTCCTGCTGACGCCGGTATATATCACCGGCTTTTTCGGCGGCACTGTCAGCAAATTGAATTTCGATCGCAGAAATTCATTTCCGCGCGATATCGGTACGATGCGCCGCCGTTTTACGCACATGTATGTGTGTGTGTGTGTGTGTGTGCGTGCGTGCGCGCGCGCGCGTACATTTTATATGCGTGATTTACTTTTTTATCGCCTCGTACGACAATATCGATTTTACTCGTTACGAACCCACGACGCGCCTGCGCGCACGATTTATCGTAATGTAATAATTAAACGCGAATTCAATTATTCGAATCGATTCACAAGCAGAAATCAGATTTACGCTGGAACCACCGGAATTTACAAAGCCGGACGGTATTGTATTAAGTTGCCCACGTGTTATATCATCGCGTGTACGGACGTACACGACGGACGGAGCGCTCGGAAAATGATAAGAAGGCCGGTTCAACGCCCGGCTCTTTGATTTGTGCTTTTTTTCTTCTTTGTTCTTCCTCCCTGTGTGGGATTTTTTCCTCTTTTTTACTTTTTGTATTTCGCTCGACCAACACGCCGGTAACGTGAGTGAGATTAACACCTGTTGAGTCGGTAACTATGACGCGACCAATTAATTAATTCAAAATCGTATTAGATACCGCTGAGTGAAGCCGCATCGACCTTATAACCAGACGCGTATCGAGCCACGCGCGACCCACCCCGATACCGTGTTTGTTCTTGCAGCTCGCTGGAGCCGGTCCAACCGCATCTGCCGATTCCGTAACTTCGTTTCGCCTCGCGGCTGCATTTCCGCATGACTATCCGTTAAACAGCCGCCCGCGGAAAATTACGGTAACGGCGAATCGCCCGGTATCCTTCCGCATTTGCCGCAGTTTTCCGCGATTACGTAACGATCGTGTATCCGGCGGATGTGCCGCTGGAATACGAATAAATCAGAACGCGATGAATGGACGCGCAGCATATGTCCCTCTTTCCCATATGCGCCGTCTGATTAAAATCTCGTCAAGCGCAATCCTCTGCGCCCGCGTGGCTCGATAAACCGCGATAAAACCGCTCGATAAACCGTTATTAAACGCGCGACGTGTCCCTCCGTAATAACGTACGATTGATGATCGACAGGACAAAAGACATACGTAAATATTATATAAAATATTGATATATATTTTTCACGATGAGTGTATATATATATATTATAAAATATATATATCAAATCGTCAAATATATATACACATGTACATATGTGTGGTCAAACGCGAAGAGGGAGGGCTTTATGCCCTCGACCAACGCGGGCCAACAAACGCGGGGAACTCACCTATGACTACAAGATTAATCCTCTGATTCTTCGTAGGACTGTTTTTAAAATCCACCCTGCACCTGTACACGCCGCTGTCGGTGGCCTCCAAAGGATCTATCTCGAGCTCGGCGGGCTTTACCTTCGTCCTCATAACCGCCCTTTCACCGAACACATACGGATCTGACCAAAGCTTCGCCTGACTTATCTGCCTCCCACGAGCGTCCATGCTGTATATCGGTTCGCCGTCCTTCTCGTCTTTGTACCAAAATACCATGATGACGGTCTCGTCTCTAGTCGGCGGATCGATGTCGCAGGGTATCTGAGCTTTGAAACCGGCCACCGCGCTAACGTCTAATGTAGGCACTGAAAAGCACGCGCAAGCGCGACAAAGTTATCCTTGCGTCGGGACATGGCGTAATTTCCGTGTTATCCCACCCCCTCCCTTCCCCGCTCCTCTTTCACGACTTTCCCTCTCGTCTACTTGGACGATTGTAAAGTTGGTTAAAGTCGAAGATTTTCTTTTTCAACCAAACTCTGATGGCCGACGCGATCGATTTCGGCGTGTTCTTCTTCACGCAAAGCGGAAGAGCGAGGCGAATTATCGCGTCGCAAAGCAGCCCGCGAGTACGTCCTCCGACTTCAGATCGGTCAAACAAGCTCTCTACGGGTGCTTCCTGCGCACCCGTATTCCAAGACTGTACAATTCCCTGTACAATTCCGCCATTTTCGCGAGCGTACATGGTTTCCCATGGCGGTTACGCAGTGCAACGCATTACGCGGCCGAGTCGTACGCCCAGCGAGAACGCAATTCTCCGGCGGAGCGCGCTGCCATTTTCCAACAAGTCGTGCACGCGTCGCGCCCGTCTGCGGCTACGCCAACGAGTCCCGTATCCGTTAACACGGGTCACCAGCATGCCCTGCCCCATCCCAGCCGGCCGACCGTACGTTTTCTCGGTCCGCAAATTTGGAGTTTTAGTCAGTCACCGTCGGCGCCGATCGAGTTACTGCAAATTGGTCGAAGCCCGCTCCGCCTGAAAACTGAAGCCGCCACCGTAGCCCGGGTAGCCCCGAAACGCGCGCGCGGACGTGCATGCGGAAACAAAGTTCCGGAGCGCACGGGGCGCGCTGCGCGCACCCTCGCTTTCCCGCCATCGCGGGCCGCCGATGGACCGCACGACCGAGTGAACCCAATTAATCGGTCTGGTTGCCGATTTATATGCCGACGCGCCGAGCGTGGGCGCGATTTTATTGGCTTTCATAGCCGTCTCATCAATCGTCCTGCCGCCTAACGCCCGTTCGGACCGCTGCGCGGCCGCACGTTATTATCCCCCCCCCCCCCCTTCGACGCTCACAGACGTAACGAGCGTCCGTCGCAAATTACCGTCGAACCGAAACCGGCGTCTTCGGTCGCCCAAGACGCCGCTGCCGTCTTATCGCCGCCGCCGCAGGAGATTAACCAGGCGAACGTGGCCGACGTGTATCGGCTTTTTTCACTGCGGGAGTCGGCGGCGCGCAGACGACACGGAACAGCGGGACGCGCGCAGCGTTTCCGCGAAGCTGCGTCGCCGCGTGATCTGACGTTTATCGAGGTGTCAAGGCTCTGATAGATTGGGAGAGCAAGAGGGAGGGGTGGGAGTTGACAAGAAGAGGGAACTGTCGTTACTTGATACTCGCGGCTGCTGAATAAACATTTTCGTTGAGGTACACGTGTGTCGCTGAATATCCACGAAGCAAGGAGATTGATGGAACGTAACGCGACGATGAGCGAGATCTTTTGACGCATTTTGCTCGGTGGAATTTCCGGTTCTCAGATGAGCTGAGTTTGGCTCGTTTCAGCCATCAGACATGCTGTCGCCTCCGACCGAAGCGTTCGGTTCGCTTATCGTTGTCTCGTTAATATTCAACCAATCTTTTTTTTAGTTTGATTGGATCACCGAAAAAATTGTATTCTTAATATAAGACAATTTTTTAAGAAAACTTTTTAAGCTTTCTTAACAGATATTCTTAATCTATAAGAATATTTTCTTCTTTTTATCGATATGTCTAGAATACATACTAAAAATAAGAATATACTCTTTTAGAATAACTGCCTAGCAAGAAACAAGTCGTCGATCGGTCATTAAGAAGGAAGCACGCATTCTTACATAAAGGCATAATACACAATAAGGAAGGGAATCAATCGGAATCCCCATTTCTATCGCCACGTTTGGAATGAAGGACTGATTAGTTAATTTCCTTATGCGTTGTGCATTATGCCTTTATGCAAAAGTGTGTGCTTTTTTTATCTCAAAAACAACTTTCGCAGTATAATTATATGCAATAGATCAAAGGCAAATAAAAACCAACATTGAAATCGGATTGCAGCTTTAAAATTGCATTAAAAAATGTAGCATTACAAGAGGATTAATAGTGCAAGAGATTAATTAATTAAATATTACAAATTGGGAATTAGAATCAGTTCGACGCAGAAAGTGTATACACGGTGAATCAACTTTCCGCGTCGAGCAGACTCTGATTCCTAATTTTTAATATTAAATTAATTAATTTCCCTCCCTTAATTATTTGCGACACTACATTTTTTAATTTCACTTTAAAGTTGCGATCTGATAGCAGCGTCGGCTTTCACTTACATTGATCTATCGTATATGGTTGTATTAATATTTATATATATTAAGGATATCCATTAAGAATATCCATTCAGATTATTTCTGAAGAATATCTAGTATTAATACATTTTTAAGAAGATTCTCCTCTTAAGTTAAGAAAATGTTCTTGGTGCCTATTTTAGAAGAAATTATCCTCAACATAAGCGGGAAATTTTTTAAATAAGAATACAATTTCTTCGGGAGCATTGCTACTTCGACACACGAGTCGCTTGAGGCTCGAACGAGAACGCTGCCTCGAATGCGTACGCGAACGTTAATCGTTGTAAGCAATTAACACACTCCGTGTGCGGCGATAGCTGCGGTTTCCGCCCGCGAGTACAGCCGTCCCCGACGGCTGTGCATCCGCGGCCGCTCCTCACGATGACACGCGACGGCGAAATCTCGATATTAATAGACCCGCGATCGATTATCCTTGTACGACGGCGACCCGGATGTGCCGGAAACGCGCATTCGAATGCTGCGCGCCGGTTGCCGCGGGCTCCCTGAGATTCATCGCCGACGATGTCGGTATTAATAATACGACGCAATCGATGCCCGGTGATGAATGAGGAGCAACTCGTTAAAAGCACGGAAAAAGCGTGAAATGAGCGCGTGCCTCCGCTCGTTCGCGCCTCCGAGACGTGACTCGGAAGATTCGCGCGGCGAAGAAGCGCCTGTCCGCGCTCGATCGTGCTGGTGATGGTGTTCCGGCACCGGCCGGGGCCGAGCTCGCGAGTATAAATCGCGGTCGAAGGTAGAATGGGTCACACGACCGAGAGAGAGAGAGAGACGTGTCACACGTAGAACGACGAGAACCGTAGACGCGAGCTGCGATACGCGCGATTCGATTCACCGGCGATCACCGCGGTGCAACAGAGCGACACGTACTTGCATACATGTATACATGTTTAGGAAAACTCATCCCGGCGACGCTAACGATCAGGTTACAGACATAATCAGCCGCGAGAACGTGCCGATTAAACCTTCCTCCGGAGTGAAAGAGGGAAGGGCCGGGCAAGGAGGGGCGCGTCGGGGGCGGGTATCGTTAATGCCGCAATTAAAATGTTAATAGCACTGGCGAGTCCTATTACCTCGTTAAATCCTCCCCTCTCGTGAATCTCGCAAATTGATGACTTAGACAATGAGCCATCGACAGACTCCGCTCGCGCGTGCACACAGAGGGACGCTTACGTATTCCGTGCGTGTGCGCGGCGGCCGCCGCCGCCGCCGCCGCCGCCGCCGCAGCCCATACTCTCTCGCACGCACGGCGTGTATCACGTTTACTTGAGAGAGCGTGGCGAATATCCGTTCTCGGCTAACGCGGAACACATACGTATCCGCCGACACGACGATCCCGGAGTAATTATTCAAAGCAAACATGAGCGCACCGTCGTGGATCGGTAATACATCGCATTACCCGCGCCGTGTATACACGGAACCGCGCATACGGATTTAAGCACGCGTCATGACGCGAGTTCCGCTGGGGGATACGAAGTGTAGCGTGCACCGATTGCGGGGTGGATCGAAATTGTTGACCCCGCTCGACGACGACGCGACATGATGAGTTTGCGCGAGATCACGCGAATAAAAATAAAAGTGAAGAAAAAAAGAAAATCGGACTCGGGAATTCGACAAATTGTTCGTCCGTGCGAAGGGTGCGAAATAGAAAACGAGACGCTCCGTCTTCGTTTTCGCGGAAATATCATCGCCATTCAGCCCGACGCTTTCGACCTCACGTGTCTATCACAAAATTGATGCTCCTTACGGTCCCCCCTCCCCGCCTCCCGGCTCTATCTCGGTCTAATGCGCAAATTCAATTTCACGTTGCTGCCGTTTGCTCCAATTTGAAAGTGTGAGGTTGGTAATTTGACCAAAGCATCGCTTGTAAACATCGCCGGTGCGCAAACGTAGAAGCGACTTCTTCTCTGTAGAATCAGGCGTCGTTGGCAAACCGATTGCTTCGCAAACATACAGACGGTAGAATCCAGCGCGCCCGGCGAGCGATAAAAAGAAAGTGGGTGAATAGCGATTCGTAGACGAACCGGCACGGAAATTGTGTTTTGCATATTTTCATGCGTTCCCGCGGGAATTTCCGTGGCGCGCTCGCGTCGCGTCGCGTCGCGTCGCGCGCTTTCCGCGCGATACTCGTCATCGACGGGAAACGAAAAGGAGAAAAGGAAACGGACGAACAAACGAACGAATCACTTGGATTCGATAACGATCGTCGAGAATTACGAAGCTGAAACTATTAATCTTCGACTAACAATCACCGGTCGCCGTATCCTCTTGAATCCCACGGAGAAGAACAAATGGTCGGCACTTTGGCGTGCTCCGCGCGCGCGCGTGCCCGAAGCACGGCGGGCGTCGGCGTGCAAACACGAGACGCAAGTTTCTCGCCAAGGTAAAGAGAATGCACTGGGAAAACTTTGACAAAATGCTCTTTACGTACTTTCCCGTCGCCGTCGCCGGAGGAAGGGAGGGAGCAAAGATCGGGAAACGGAGCATTGAACGAATATTCCATTTCTCAATGGCGAATCTCCTCGGTTAGCACTTTCCTGTTCCTCCGGCTCGCAGTCGACGCTCGCTCGCGCGCGCGCGCGCGCGCGCGATATGACTGAACTTCATAAAGCTGGCGTCACACGATTTCATGCATGCACTTCTGACATGCATGTTGACCGGCACGCTCAGTTCACCGCATGAATCGCCATCGCTAGCGTG